AAATTTTTTTCTTTGCACAAAAAATGCGTTTTACTTCATTTTTTTTCATTTGCTTTAGGATTTCCACAGATATCTCGAATGGTACCATTTTAGGGAGTAATATGCACATGGGAAAGAAATGAGAAAAAGAAGTGGTACAAATCGAATGAGATTCATTGGATGAATGTTCCTATTCTACATTTGTCTGGAGTGCGAAAATCACATTTTGCTTCTATCCATGACGTTCGTTTTTCAAGGAATACTGTTATTTTGCGGATAGTTCTGAAGATTTTGTAGCTGTATAACATTAGTGCTAACCCATCTGTGACAGATTAATCCTGGTGTCCGCCCGGCCATTTGTTTGAAGCCTTCAGCTTTCTTCTAAACAGCCGTCGGAAAGGAGAGGCTTCGTACATAATTGCATTTTATTGAAAAGTGCTATCATTCGATCTACTAATGAGTTTCCCTCCCTCTTACGGAAAAGAAATGTGATATTTTATATTTTTGCTGCTTGAAAAGTTGTTTCTGTTCTTTTTTGGATTCTTCTAACTGCGTTTATCAGATACTTATTTTTGAAAAATTAACGAAGAAATTTTTTGATTTTGTGGAAATAAAATTACAGGCTTGCCAAAACAGGTTCAATTTTCATCAGTTTAAACACGTGTTTCATTTCGAAATACCCTTTTTTGCAGATTACTCAAGAAAATGAAGGAGTTATGGTGTTGTGGCGTGTAGAACCGAAAGGAATTCTAAAACGGGTGCATATTCATCAGGGCGATGGCAAAATTAATACTGTGGAATGGGCGAATTCAGACACCGCCGAATTGCTTGTTCTGTCAACGAAAAGTTGTGTCTATGCATTTGATATTTGTACGCTCACACCGTTATGGGTAGCTTGCGAGCCAAACTTGAAACTTGCTGTCACTTCGCAGTTCACAGTGGCGTATAATGCGAACGGTTTGTCCACCTTATTATTATTATTGTTGTTATTATCACTATTATTATTATTATCATTATTATTGTTATTATTATTATTGTTATTATTATCATCATTATTATTATTATTGTTATTATTATTATTATCATTATTATCATTATCACTAATGATTGTTACTATTATCCTCATTATTATTATGTTCAGTTTCATTACTGTTGCTTTTATCACTATTATTAATGTCTAATGTGATGATTAAATTAAGGGGACTAATTAACTGTATGAGATTTTGAATCAGAAAGCCCTAGTTATCTAAATCTCCTGGAACTGTTTTTGTGTGAAGCGCCGCTGTTATCGAGGTGATCCAAAATTCCTATTGTATTAACAGTTGTGCCAAGCTCTTCCAAACTGAATTGCATACTTCCAGTTTTTGCATACACATATCAGCTTTTCGAAAATTATTTGAATGATCGTTTTTGAATGATTCAAAAAATGCTCAACATTTTGCAGTTATTTCAATCGTTGATTGCAATTCCGGTACACTTTTATGTCACAAGGAGATGAATCTCCCAGTGGGAAATGTTGCAGCTATTGGAAAAGATGAAATGTTCTGTGTAGTTGCTGCGAATCAAAAGGTTTGTGTTCAGTGTGGGAAAATTTTTTAATGGAAGCATTTATTTTTTTGGATTTCTAAATATGAAAATTTGGTTAGCAGATCAAAGATCAATGTATATTTATGTTTCTGTGTATATATACAGATTCTGTGTATATTTATATATTTTTGTCTGTATTTGTATATTTTCAAAACCAGTTTATGTATTTTTTTTTCCTATAATTTGGTTTTTGACAGCACGAAAAATGGTTGATTTTAGTGCTACATTTAAAAAGTCCCACATTAGTCAGTAATATCCTTGAAAAAGAAAACGACCACTCGGGCGGCTTCCGAAGAAGTGGCGCACATAATCGAACAGGAGGCGACTACTTGCTGGAGATTTGCAGCCCAAAATCTAGGGACCTGGTATAACTGCTCCCGGCATTTGGAAGTATCTCAGTACGATCACTAACAGGGATATTCAAATCATCGCGACATTGCCGTTTTTGCTATTTTGAAAGTTACAAAATTAATTAGTATTGTTTCAGGAATATGGTGTAATTGCGAAATCGAATTTACTGGAGCAATCACAGAAACAGTTTGCTGTGAGAAGCACTGCCACAAAGACACCATTCTCGAAACTGATCACAGTTGGCGACGCGAATGATAAAAATATTGAGATTCCCATGGAAACAGCACCAAATATTGATCTTCTATCTGGACCAGCATATTCTCTCGCGCCAATCCCGTATTTAGCTCAGAGATTCATTCGATCATGCTTTTTGCCACCGCGACGATTGTGAGGTATTAAATATGTCGTGATTTTGTTGTATTATAGCATTCGTCGTAATTTTGTGCAGAAGATAACTCGTTTTTTTTTTTTTTTTTTGGAGAAATTATGAAAGTTAAAAATAAGATAGATTGTTACAGATAAGTGTATTGAGGAAATAGCAGATGAAATTAGTATAACAGTGATTCAGTTACTCAGTATATCTGGTACAGGAGGTTTAAATCGTTTTAGACTCTCCACTACATGTCAGTCATTCTTTTCTCGTTACAGATTCTATATTTTAAAATTTCTCCAATCAGCTTCAAAAAGACCCATATGCTCGATTTCCATCTACTCTCTGGCTTTACGCTTCACTGAATTTTGCAGACTGTTTATTCAGTTTTTGCATAATACATTAGTATACAGGGAATGTCAAATTTATATAAATTTAAATACATTGATAATTTGAAATTATGTAATAACGAGCTAATGCCAAAACAAATCATTATTGCTATTGCAGTGACGCCTGAGGTAGGTGCTAGTTTTACGATTGCTGTTTTGGAGGAGGAATTGCTCTTCTTACTTCCTCAGGTCGCTTTGCCCTATAACAAATAATTAATTGTATCACTGGTTCGTTGTCCTCAAGTACCCAGTGCGCGCTAGTTGGAAAATTGTACTGCCAACAAATATTGCTAAATTTTCTGGATTTGGTGGGCTTGCAGGCAGTGTGAATATCACTAACTGTTGATTTGTAGGCAGATAACATCGATCCGTCGTATAGTGTTAACCAACCACAGACCCGCTCGTCATATCGTCGGTTGTCTCAAACTTGGGTAATATAATTTTTATTATGTACATACAATATACTCGACGCGAATAATACATGAAAAATGCAAGAAGATACGTTGATAAAAGTACAGAAAGGAAAAGGAGAAGAAAAGGGATCCAGTGCTGGCGTTGCTGTTGTTCCTTCGTCGTTGTCGTTCCACCGTCCAACGTTACCGAACTGTCGATATGCTGAAAAAAA